GTTCAACTATGTAAACTATATCATTTAGAAATCATGCAAACGAATAAATAAACTTACAGTGTTAAAATTGAAAATTGACAGATAACTATTTGAAGTAATACATTCTGCATTCACCTACCTTATTTCAGAAAATGCATGCGGATGGGCAAAGTGTGGCGGTTGCTAAACAAACACCAACAAATTATATATATCTACATTTGTATGATTTAACAAAAGACACCCAACACATAATAATTAACCATTTTCTACTCAACAATCCTCTGGTACACACTAACATATATACAGATATCAACACAAATAAAGCCTACACCCTAAAGTCTGTGTAGCCTCACTCAGATTTGTCCTTGATAAATTATCGCAGACGGAAACTGTCAATGTCTGTCCAAAATGTTCTCAAAAAGTAAATGTTGGATGAATGCCTCAAACTAACTGTTTACTCGTTTAGACTACATTTTCAGCACTGATGGCCTCAGTTCGTGTGAATAAAACTGGGTTGGCACCACCTGCTCCTCTCCGTATCATGCTGTACACCACATCACCAAATTGTGGCCGTTATGGTTAACCTTGAGTGCACACACATATTGTCCTCTACCCCTAATCACAATATACTGCAACATCTGATGCAACAGTGCATGTGCAACGACATGACTTCAAAGGTTGTCAAAACTGCTGTCGACACATGATGTCTGCCAGCTTCTGTACTTTTTCGCCAGCGACTAAAACGATTTACGCGTGGAGTATATAGAATATCAAACTGACCTTTCAAACCGATTATCACAACATTAGAAATAATAGATTTGAATAAGCGTCACATAACTGCTGTTTAAGATAAAGTTATAGCAAGCTATACAAACCGTTCTCACGATTCCCACTTTCTCATGATTCTGTGTCAAACAAGAAACATCTTTTTGAGTGTATTGGATATATTTGTTTACCACTTAGCTAATAGCTCTGCTTTTAAACTGTTCCGGATTTTACATATTTCCTCCACTATTGTTTTCTTTTCACTATTCAAAGACAAATTCTCCTTAACTCCTTTTCTACTATTAACGATTTCTTTCATGTTCTCATACATTTGATTAAATGCGAATATATCTCTTTTGTATTAATTTAAAGATTTATTACCGATACTCGATTAAGTAAATTTGACTTTTTCATTCATATCTACAATATTGTCTCAAGTTTGAGTTTTCTCGTCAATTTTACGGACCCGGCGCAGGAATGTGAGTGTGTGTGGACACTTGAGCCTGTGCCTGTCATCATTCTGATGGAAATTACGCAACTGAGATTAAATTTGCTTTACATCTATACTGTATTCCAGTTTATTGTTATCAAATATTATTATGTCATTTACTTACCATTTGATTGATGTGTCTGAATACTTGTTTATTGTAATAAGGAGATGACTTTTGTAGGTTATGCCTTTTTCCAAATTACATTTATCATTAAGATCTTAACACAAAACCTATTCTGTAATGACAAATACGTTGTTAGTGTTTTAAAGAGAAAGTTTACAGTCGAAATGCAATAGCTAAAATTCATCTCAAACCTTAACCTAAAAAATTTATGTCTTCATGTTTACGATTTTGGAGAAGACAATCATGCTGCAGTGATCTGCACATCCTACAAGTGTACGTAATCGTCGAATCTAAGACGCCTATCGCAGCACAATATGTGTGAGTACAGACAATGAAAGAAAAAAAAATCCAGACGTAGAGGTGCAGCAGCCCCATAATTAAATACATTTTGTAATATCCATATCCATATGCAATTTTGCAGTAGCGTCAAGTACATGTGTAGTCGGGACTTATCAACGGTAACAACCTGCTATCTCAAAGATTGCACAAAAAATCAAACATTGTATGCGTATTGCCCTAATCATGAAACTTTTGATTATTAGCAAATGATATCTCTTAATTTGGTTTCCTCATTAGATAGCCAGAATTCCAGAATTCAACTAATAAGGTTTACATGGTAAGTCATATACGCGCTTAACGAGAGAGAGTATATCTATTCATGTGACCTACCGACAAATGATTTTGACTGGACTAGAGTTTTATATCGAACGATTTGGCTTTTTTAAAACTCACCACTTTTTCAGTAGTCTGTCTGAAGCGACGTCAACCAAACTGATAATTGTAAAAAAAAAAAAAAAAAATCTCTTCGTACAAAACAAAGATTAAAAAACTAAACAATCATTTTTTGACATACACTGTACTTTGGCAATCTCATGGTCAAGATATTATCATGTGAAGTAATGTCATCATAAATATTTGTTTGATCCCTATATGATTTTTTTGAAATAATTGAATAAAAATGCTTTTCAGAAAATATCTTCTCGAAGTCCTATTTTCGTTAACTTGTTTACATATTAAAAACAAGTTTTATGAAGTGTTTACCGACGAAAATGAATCAACTGATTCATGCCACTCCATCATTTCTAGTCAAACATGAAGCAAAAAATTGTACGAAAGATACAAAATTGAACAGACCGTTATGTATTTAGAGTTAAATTTAGAAAATCCAAGCAAGGAATTTAAGAGCATCACTAGAAAAACAAAAATGACACTATCAAAATGTTTCGATCGATCATATTCAGTAGTGGAAGCATAATTTGTTTACTGTTCTGAGCGCTCAGCCGTTGTGAAAATAGAGAATTTCGCTGACAGGCAAATATCTATAAACCATTATTCCTGTCGAACATTTGTCAGAAGCATTCCCTAATCAGCCGACATATCATTTCTTGATATGCAGATTAATGGTGTAGGATGTCTGGTGTCAGATTTACTCTTCTCTGTCACGCATATCACTGTAACAAGGCGATGAAGGTGTTTTACCATAACTGCATCAATCGTATAAGATACCAGATTGTGCCAAGAAAAAATTGAGTCATATTTAGAGAAAGTCCTAAAATAGCGTTCTCACGTTAAAAAGATGTGGGTCTAAAACCCGATTAGCAGAGGCTACGATCGTAATGATATTGTGTAATATATACGGGATAACAAATTGATATTTGCTTATGTGCAATCTCTCAGTTATGGCTTACACTCGGCCATTTGGACAAGTTCGTATTAAAAACCTATTCCGTGTGACTTGGTTGGCAGATGAATGAGTTTGTAATGGAACCGACAGGCCGCTTCGACCTGACTTTTGCATCAGAAAGTAATCATAGGCTTAACACAAGGGTATATAGGTCGTTAATTCACAACATCGCCGATTACAGGGTTTGACCAAATACATGGAATCCAATCAAGTTCTCAAGATTTCCGTTCAGAATCAATCTTCTGTTCCATGATGGCCGTCCAGTTAGCTGTCAGCGTTATTGCCATGACATAGTGGATCAGGTGATACCATATATGGAATGTGTCTCCATGGTGGTGGTCAAGGACATACACAGTTCTAAAAGATGAAGAGAGTGACATAGTTACTTCAATAATAGGATTAATGTGAATAGATTGTCTGTCAACAAGTAGCGTACATATCGAAAATAGAACGCTTACAGTATGTTCTGTCTCTCTCTAAACGCTGATTTTACGAACAAGTAACTAGACGAACTCCTTTCGCAACTGCCTCCTCCATTAATACTTTTGGTGACTTGAATTGTTATAACAAGCTTTGAGGTTCACTCAACACTACAGGAACAAGCATTGAAAAAATGTATTGGAAAATAAGATTTGTGTTAAAAATTATAATTCTCTAACTTATTGGCATCACACTTCCGGAGCATTCTCACATCTTGGTTTAACTTTATGTCATCCATCGTTGTTACTCGGGGCATGACGATTAATTTCCTGAATTTATTAGACACGATAAGAATTCTTTAATACCGAACTTCATGAGATAGCTGAAGAATGTATACCAAAGTCCAAAACACAACACAAATTCTTGGATCAATGAACAATATGATAAAGCTATTAGATATAGGAAGACCGCTTCGGGGCAATTACAAAACAATACCACAAGCGATAGCTCAAACAACTGTACAAATATTAGGGCAAAAACCCGTCGAGCTATAGGCTTACAAAACAAAATTGGAGATCTTATGTGTCCAAATTAAATTAAAATATATTCATCAAAATAAGTATGGGATATGATTAAACGAATCAACGGTAAAGCATCATTCAAGACAAAGTGACATCTGAAAACAAATGGAAAAATTAACCACGTCGAAATGTGATATTGCAAATGCTTAAGGATCTGTTTATATTTTTTCCTCCGAAAATTCGTCAGCAAATAATTATTCCAAAACAATTCAACAATTTACTACGACTCGAGAAAAAACTAAGTTGTAATTCTCTTCCGAAAATAGTGAAACTTAAACCACCCTTTTGACAACAGGACCTGATAATATTCACTATCAGTTCCTAAACCATCTACCAGAGTAATCATTAGAAAAACAGCTTGATATTTGTAGCTATAAGATAGATCGCGTAATGTCTCAAGGTCATGGAAAAGGGTAAAAGATACGACAGATCCCTTCAGTTACCGCCCAGAATCACACATGAGTTGCGTTTGTAAAACTCTAGAGTGGATGATGAATTTGAGATACATTTGCCATCTGGAATCCAATCACATAATATCAGCCTGACAAAGCGGATTTAGATCTAAGCGCGGTACCAACGATCATTCGGTCAGACTTGAAACCTGTGGTTTTATCACTTCTAAGTGATAAAGCTTATCATTTAGGTCGCTGGCCATAAATTCAACAACGTCATGTGTACGTTTAACATAAGAACAACTGCTTTTTGTCAGAGAGTTACATGTAAAGGGACGTAATCACGACCAACACTCAAGTCTGCATGGTCACACACCACTATCATTACATCTTCCTTCCTTAAAAAGAAGTAAATTTAGCTTTAAATTTAACTGAATTACCAGTTCAAAATTTTTCTTGATGCACTTTTTTCAAGTAAAACTGTTTCTAAAATTGAATAAAGCAACTTTAAGAAAAAGATAAACTTCTTTACCAGTTCTTGTTTCAAAACACCGACTAAACTACACTACATCCCTTCAATGAGACGATTTGGCCTTCTTACAGTTCTACTCGATTTTGTCACTATAGTTGGTTCATCACACTTTACTGGGGTTCCAATGTCACCATCATCAAATTCAATCTCTGGATGAATCACATAATTACCATCGGTGTCTGGTATTGTTACCGTTTCACGTTCCACACATTTCAGAATGTCTTTTCGATTTCGACGATATGTGTTTCCAGCATCAGTTTCGACCAGGTATGACCTCGGGGATACTTCCTCACGGAATACAGCCTTTGTTGACCATGTACTTTCACGACTGTCACGGATCCTCAGTGTTCCCGCGATCCAAGGGGATAATTCGTGAACATTTTTGTCATAGTAGAACTTTTGCCTGACTTTATCTGCAAACTTTTCCTTTCTAAACTGTTCTGACGACTGTGACTTGACCAACAGTTGACTGTCAACGATGGGAAGATTTGACCTGGCTTTTCTCCCATGGAGAAGCTCAAACGGTGATTTTCCATGCTTTAATGGTGTAGTTCTGTAGTTCATGTAGAAATCACTTCCGTCCTCTCGCGATTTCTTGAGAAGACTTTTCACAATGCCCACACTTTCCTCAGCCAGCCCATTTGACTGTGGAAAGTTGGGACTGGATGTAGTATGCTTGAAATCATAGTTCCTAGCAAACTCTTGAAACTCACTTGACATAAAATTGGTACCATTGTCACTAAAGACGTGTATTTCATGGCCTTAATAATCAACAAAGCATTAAAGCTTTATAAGGGACACACTTCTTGATAGTTTGAATAATAGTTACATATCAATAGGAAATTGTCACCTTTAAGCTTACAAATATCAACGCCGACCTTTTCCCAAGGATACTCCACCACAAGATGAGGGTTTAAAGGTTCTGATGCCTGTTTTGACCGGTGTTTCGCACACGTTGAGCATGACTGCACCATTTCCTCAACACACTGGTTCATGCCTGGCCAGTACATTACCTGACGTGCTTGGAGCCTGCATTTAGCTATATCCAAATGCCACGAGTGAATTTTCACTAACATCTCCTTTCGGAGACTCCTCGGAATCACTACCCGATTGTTCCTCAAGATCACACCTACAACACTCAGTTCATCCCGGATGTTCCAGTACTCCAGGACGACTGACGAACACTTTGACTTAGTATTTGGAAATCCATTGACGATGGTTTCTATTAGCACTTGTAGATCGGGGTCTTTGCTGGTTTCACGTCTGATTTCATCCATTTTCCTGTCCAATACCGGAACACTGTGCATTACGAAGTCTACGTAAGCATCAACTTCCGCCTCACCAGAACGATCCTGCAGAGCTTCTGTCAACTCGTACGCGTGCGACTAAGCATCTGTAGTATACAGGAACTTGCCTGGTGTGAATGTTACATCTAATGTGTACTTCTGTATCCGTAACATCAATCGTTGAATGCGCATAGGACAGTCATTCAGCGACTTTCTAAATATCGCGATAAGCGGTTTGTGGTTTGTTTCGACCTGTACTCCCTGGCCATATATGTATTGGTGAAATCGTTCACAAGCGAAGATAATGGCAAGCATTTCCTTTTCAATTTGTGCGTAGCGCGTCTCTGCCTGAGATAACGCTCGTGATGCATACGTTACTGGGAACCAATCGTCATCGTACTTTTGTAGGATTACCGCTCCTAGACCAGACTTGGACGCGTCAGCTGAGATTTTGATTTCACGCTCACTATCGTAGAACTTCAATATTGGTTCATCGGTAAGTATGTCTTTCAACTCCTTAAAGGATTTTTTCTCTGCTTCGTTCCAGCGAAACTCATTTTTCTCATCTACGAGCTGCCTCAGTATAGCGGTCTTAGTAGACAGATCTGGTATGTAACGACCCTGATAGTTCACCATTCCTAAGAACCGTTGAACATCTTTCTTACACTCAGTTGTTTTGAAGCTTTGGTTGCTCGGACTTTCAATGGATCTGGTTTCATTCCTTCTGCAGACACGACAACTATAAATGTTAATGACTGTACACCACAGACTTATTTCTCCTTGTTGAGTTTTAGATTTGTCTCTCGAGTAGCCTCTAGGCCTCTGGTTGTGCTCTTCCGGAGTACTTCCCCATATGATGATATCATCCATGATCGATGAAGCTCCTTCGACGTGTTAAAATAACATATGGATTGCCTTGTGGAACTGGAACTGAGGATATTCCGAATGGTAATCGTAGAAACCTGTACCTGCCGAATGGTGTATTAAAACAGGTAAGCTTTGATGAGTCCGAATCCAATTTCATTTGCCAGAATCCGGATGAAGTGTCGAGCTTACTGAAATATTTCGCATTTTTGAACTTTGACATAATTTCTTCTCTGGTCGGAAGCTTATAATATTCTCGTAATATTGCGCAATTCAGGTCCCTGGGGTCAAGACATATACGCAGTTAACCGTTTTTCTTTCCGACAACAACCATAGAGCTGACCCAGGGTGTAGGATCATTCTCCATACATATGATCTCCAGTTGCTCCATACGTTCAAGCTCCGCCTTAACCCTGTCCTCAATAGCAAATGGAACCTTGCGACATGGGTGTACCACTGGTGCAACTGATGAATTGACTTGAATACTGTAGTAACCTGGTAGACATCCCAGGCCTTCAAATACATCAGAAAACTCCTGTACAATACTGTCTGCTGACTGTACACGTTTGTCAATGTTAAACACGCGTTTGACTAGGTTAAGTTCATCACATGCTTTTACACCTAGGAGTGCAGTTCCCGAGTTTTAAGCCACTATGAAATTCAGTGGAGTTGTCCGCCCTTTCTGGTTCATGTTCAGTACACATGCACCTGTGATCGGTATTTTGTCTCCACTGAAAGAAATCAATCTCACATTTGCCTGATGTAGCTTAGGTTTCTCTGCCAACTTGTAATACAAAATTTTGTGAATAATGTTGACTTGACTGCCAGTATCTAGCTTAAAGTTAATGTTCGTACCGTTTGTATTAATGTTCAACCTCCATTCCTGACTTGAAGAATCACTAGAATTGATTTTATCTACTGTAACAACAATATATTCTGTATGGTCACTGTGTTGAAATTAAGTTTTTGTTTCTTTAAATTCTGACACTTCGTGGACTTTCTTGCCAAGAAAACACATTTTTGAGAAATGATTTTTCTTTTGACAGTTGTTACAGGTTTTAGCCATAGCCGGACACTCGAACTGTGTACCATGATTTCTCCCACATCTTCCACATTGACCTTTAGTCTGTTTGTGTTGTGTTGTCTAACCATCTTGCTTGTAATGTGTTTGTTTTCCCGTAGACTTGTGTTTAACAGCATCAACCTCTTTCTGTTTTTCAACTAGATCTTTCATACGATCTTTTGTTGTTTCCGCCGTTCTACACATGGTAATCGCTTCACTGAGTTTCAAATCTTAAAACCCTTAATAAACGAGCCCTAAGATCATTATTAGGAATCCCACAGACGATTCTATCCTTGATAACAGTGTCTATTAACTCACCTAGTTCTAAGTTCGTTCACATATTGATTAATGTTTTCATCGAAAAATTTATGACGTTCGAAAGTCTTAGGTGAGCAGTACGTTTCAAATTTTCCTATGACGACTAATTTATACTTGTCATCTTCATTTTCAAATGGAAAGTTATTGTATATCTCGAGTGCATTCTCTCCAATAACGTAGAGAAGCAGGGATGTATTTTGTTTGTCCTCTTTTCCCGTCGCATCGGAAGCCTCGAGGTACAGTTCAAACGTTTGAATCGTTTCCAATTTTCCGCGACGTTACCTGTCAGTGAGAGTGATGCGGGCGGCTACATATTCTTCTGACACCATGTGGTGGTATCACTTCTAAGTGGTACAGCTTTTCATTTAGATCACTGGCCATAAATTCAACAACGCCATGTGTATGTTTAACATACGAACAACTGACTTTTATTACCTCCTTAACAGAGAGTTACAAGTAAGGGGACGTAGTCACGACCAACACTCAAAGTCTGCATGGTTACACATCACTAGCATTACAAAACCTATGGTTGCGGTTTTCTTCGATCTGGAAAAGGTTTACTTAACAACGTGGAAATGCGTCAAAATGAAAGATCTGTATTTCAAGTCCAGAACAGAACGACTCTTTTCGATGTTCATCTGCAGGAAATAGGTGTACCACAAGGCAGCATTCTGTCTGTTAATCTTTTTAGACTAAAATTAACAGTATTGTTAAACGGTCTCCCCTTCAATGGTTGCTCTTTTCGTCGTTGACTTCATGATATGCTATCGATTTAAGCCTATGAATTCCAGTGAAAGACAACTACAGCAATGTTTGAATCGACCCCAAATTTGGGCAAGTGAAATAGATTTAAAGTTTCACAAACAAAATCAGACTGTATTCATTGAATGGCAAATTCGGAAACAACACGACGATCCAAATCTATCTCTTTGTGGCTTACCCATTCCGAAACAAGCAAACCAAATTCCTATGTGCAATACTCGACAAGAAACTGTCGTTCCTTCCACATATAAAATATCTTAAAGCGAAATTACTTCGGACACTGATTATTCTAAAGGTAGTGCCCCACACTGGTTGAGACGCTGATAGAAAAGTGTTGCTAAGACTTCATAAAGCTCTTATTAGATCAAAATTGCTCGACCTTCAAATTATTAATTTTTATGGTCATCACCAAGGTCTGAGACTCGCTCTCGGAGATTTTAAGACCTGCCGTCAGCAAGCCTCTATGTGGAGGCTAACTAACCATCACTATATAGCCACCAAATGAATTGCTTTTGCAAATAAACCATTAAGCTATAGTCAAATCCTTCAAAGCCTGCCTTTTCACTTGTATTTGATCCAAAAGATTAGATCTTGTTCCAAAACAAACGAAAGACTATACTATCATTCGGTATTTGGATTTCCTTTCTTTTACAAAACACAAATATTGATATTGACCAAATTTTGAAATTCCATCCTGGTCCTTGAATACACTTAAAGTTGACTTTTCACTTCATGAAATCAGACACTGATAGTTGCACCTTCTTTCAAACTACTTGAAATTGCAATTAAAATATAAGACAAAATCGATATTTATATACTGATGTTCACCAGATAATAATAAGGTTGTCGTGGCCATGGCTACACAAGATGAAGCCTATGTATGCCGGCTACCGAACAACGCCTCATTATTCGCGGCTGAAGCGCGAGCTATCTACTTCACCCTTGAACATATTCAAACAAAGTAATGAGAGCTCTTATCTATTCAGACTCTCTTACTGTGCTACAAATCTTAGCAATAGACATATCGAAAACATTACCTCAAACTTTCGTATATTTTTTGCAGAATTCTTTGGCACATGGGAATACCAGGCAATGAAAAAGCAGCATTATCGCTACCACCTGTTACTTTGCAACTTCATTTTACTGATTTTAAATATGGTATGGTACTGATAAACTGTTTTTCCGTAGAACCTACCATCGGTGAATGGTCTCCATACTATAGAGAAAGGCGAAGTTAATCCTCGGTGCTTAGGATGTCATGAGCCATTTATCGTTAAAATGTATTATATTGGACTATATTGGACTTCTGCCTACTCGAGATTTTTTTTATCGTTACAAGACACTTTATTAAACTGTTGAGATTGATAAATTTCTAGGGTATCTGAAAGATGTTGGTCTATATTAAAGAATATAATTTCCGGTTCTTTATTAATATTATAACTATTTAAGATTTTTAGCATTTGTCTGTTACCTTTTTAGTTTGTTTGATGCTATTTCCTTTTGGATCGCTGTGTCTTTCACCGGTTAATGACCCTAAAGACTTTTTATGTGTTGACTGGCCGTTAATTTTTTAACAACAACTAAAAATAGCAATGTTCTATGATATGCTAAAAACGAAAGAGGTAAATGTGTTCTGGTATTATAAAAAGGGAAGTAAAATTCTACGCTGTAAAAGTAGTCGTGAAGAGTTATGATCAACTGCAATCTAATGTGTAAGTATATATTTAAGGACGCATTTATTTGTTTGGATTTCTCAAATAAGAGAAACAGGTAAAAATAGTCCAGGTATATAAAAAAGGGAACTAAAAAAGTCTACGATGTAAAATTGGTTGAGGAAAGATACGATCAGTTGCATGTAATGTTTAAGCATATATGCTTTGACGCATGTATTTGTTTGGATTTCTAAAATAAGAACTCTCTGTGCTTGTAACTTATTAAACATCTTATCGAAACATCAAATTTTGAATTTTGCCCTTTTTTAAAGTGGATATTTCGTTCCTTGCTTTCTTATCAC